TCGGCTGGGTATTACTGGTATTAGCATTATTACCGTTAGTTGCAATTTGGCTATGGACTACATGTTGACCTATCATCGTAGTCAAGCATTCGACTATACGCATCAGTCTATCTAGACTCTAGTCAATCTGATCTTTCAGAACCCGATGTGCCTACTCTCTCGGTATCCTTGCCATTTCCCACATTCATGAAATTCAAACTTAGAGATATTTCACAATGTTTCACAACTTTATCTAAATCTCATGTAACCCTAAATCTCGTATTCAAGGGATGTCCTAGAATCGTGCTCTAATACCACTTATCACGGGCCATACCCTGTCTTATATGGTAGTGACCAAAACATACTTACTTAAATCAGACAAACTCAAATTAAGTAAAATAACTTAACTTTATTAATCATAATAGAGTCGTAAAAGTGTTACATTCCTTAAATGTAAAATATTAACATATGTACGAGACTCTAAATTTTCTTGCTTACATTATTAAACAAAAGTATGAAACAATAACTTTAATCTCATAGTCTAGCTTTAAATTTTTTTCTGTATTACTGCTCACTCTGCAGTGTGATCTTCAATATCTAGAGGGTGATAGGAGGGTGAGATGAAATATTTCAATAAGTGATATTATAAAATTACAACATAGTATATGCAATATATAGTTTATTTACACACAATAAAATATATATCATATAATCTTTCAAAAATAGATATACAAATTAGAAGACAAATGTACAAATCAGAAAACATATTCACAATTGCTTTGTTGCATCTTTATCACTATTATGAAAGATCAATCAGTTACCATACATATGCATACGTACACATACTTATTACTGGTTTTCCATGCAGCCCAACATGGAACGACATACATGAGTACCTTGAAACACTGCTGTCCCCCGAACACATAACGATAAGGGCACGCAGATCAGACTATTTTCCCATCCACCCAAACAAAGAACCATTATGTATGGATACACACTTATTATTTCACCAACACACTCAAACACGGAACAGTTATATATGGTCACATTGAAGCCTAACATAATACAGGTATTTTCGGAACAACTTCTTTCTATAATGAGTGATGCACACATATCAAAATTACATTTTGAAAACAAAAAGTAAAATAATACTTATATCAAAGTAAAACTTTAACAAATACTTACTTAGAAACTGCGAAAGACAAATCGAATACTTTCATATTTTTTTATTAAAGATACGTAAAATACTTTAAAATTACGTAGGCTAATGAATCTATAATATCAACTTACCTTATGTTCTTAACAGTTGTAATCTTAATTTCAGGAGAGTTCTGACTTTATATATGACCTTTTTCTCTCAAAAATTTAGCAGAGTTTTGGGATAATTTTTGGTCACTTTCTTGACTCAAAAATATCCAACACTACATTAAAAAAATAATCCCTAAAATTAAAGAGAAATTGAAGTTCAAAACTTAAGAAAAAACTTACATTTCTAACGGTTTATAATTTTCTTTTGACCGTGATCCTTTCTCCTTTTCTTTTCCTCTTCTTTTACTCACATGAATTTAGCAAAGTTGTTCCAAATTTTTTATTTAAAACATCACAGTACTCTAAAAAAATCACACACTTCATACTCCTTATTCTTTCCTCACTTCTATGATTCTCACTATTTTCTCTCATCCGGAATCTCTCCTCCCTTCTTCCATTCCCTATTTATAGGAGTGGGAGGCCACGAGAGAGGTTGCCACCATTCTGTCATACCATTTTACCTAAAATTTGTCACCTTTCATCATGTCACTTTATCTAAAAGGTTACCACTTTTCACATACTATTTTATCTAAAATGTTTTTTCACATGCCACTTCATTTAAAAGTTGTCACTTTTCGTTATCTCACTTCATTTAAAAGTTACCACTTTTCGCAATCACTTCACATAAAAGTTGTCACTTTTTGTTATGTTACTTCATCTAAAAGTTACTAATTTTCATTATACCACTTCATCTAAAAGATTCCCACATTTTTCTATGCTTTTTCATGCTTATTCTAGCTCTTTCATCTTTATCCATCATTTTTTTGTTTGACTTTAAACTATATTCTTAAGCTTATTATATATTTTCAAATACATATAAATGCTAAATTAAATATATCAACATAAGGAATTAACTCGGGGTATTTTTGAGCTATCACATGTAATCTTCCTTTGAAACTTCAAAAGTTTTTGTCACACTAGTAGGCAGTTAATCTTCCTTTGTTTGGTTTGAATGCAATAACAAAATGTCAATTGCCTTATGATGTGCAACATGATATTTTTGTATTTTCTAATTTTTTTAACTAATGGAATAAACAAATGATCACTTAAATTGAATGGATATGATGAATTCAAGTGAGATGCAATAGGAACTAGAAATCAAAATTTTTGAATTACTAATTTATGCAAAATAAAGATAGTAGGTTCACTAGTAGTCTAAACTTTGATACTAAATGACGTATGGGATAGGGAACAATCGTTTTGACTGTAAGAACCTCAAACAAGATAACACCAGAAAGCTTAACCACCTAATTTGCCCTCTTTACTTGAAACTACACCTAACAATATGGAATGCAAAATCAAAAAAATTGGGAAAAAAAAGAATAAGAAAGATGCTACGACTTACCCGATAAGTCAATCCTGATTCCTTAACTCAACAAAGTTTCTAAAACTCCTAACTTGAAGACACTTGAAGAATGTCACAAAATTAGTAAAGCTAATTTTAATAAGCAAGCTAAAGCTTAAAACTTTACTAATTTTATGAATTCTTCAATTGTGTTTATAATATAAGGACTGAAGCCTTTATAGAGGCTTTTATTTATTAATCTGACACAAAATAGGATTACATATTCCTACTTGAACTCTTAAAAATAATTTAACTAAGAATCTTGCTGAAAATTAATTAATTAATAGAATCATGATCTAAAAAATTCAAAATAATTAATAAAATAAGCTATTTTAATTGAAGAAGACTTCTTTTCTTTGTAGTTGCTCCCATAAGCCTCTTTTGTGCTTGAATTTGCTTAGAATTTGAGTAAGAATCTATAGGGGAATCAGATTAGAGAGAGGAAAAAAAGTGAGAGTCCAAATCGGACTAAAAGGTGTGTGAACAGGTTGTCCGCATGCGTATGGCGCACACCCCTGCAAATGTTGTATGTTTGGTGCACACAAAAGCTTCCTGCATGCACGACGATCACGTGCAGGCAATTGAATCCACTTGCACATTCGCTTGTTCTCGTGTGAATCCAGTTGATGTGTGTGCACATGCATGCGCGCTCTTGTTGTGCGCGAGTGTAGCTCTCTCGTACGCTCTGCACGCTTTTCTACGTGGGCAAAAATCCTGCATGTATGAATACCTTTCTTCGCACATGTGCAAGCCCACACGTGTACGCGATGGGTATCCACACCTATATATTTTGGGCTTTTCCTTAAGGCTGAATTCTTGGGTCGAGCCTCTTTTTTGCTGTGAGATCCAATAACTTCCTCGTTTCCCGTCTTTGTTTATTTCTCCTCCTCTTAAACCAAGGTTCAAACTCAATTAATTATTTCTAGGTTTCTGACTCATTTTTCTTTAGGTCTTGCACTTGGATATGGGTGGATCCTACTTAAGTACTTTTAATTCAAGAATACTTTTTTATGTGTCCTAGAAGCACACCATTGCGCAATCGTTTCCGCCCCTCTATTGCCACATCCCCATGGAAATATTCCTCCACATGGGTTTCCTGCTTGTTACAAGGCTTCTCCTCATTTGTTAGTGCATCATATATATATATATATTCACAATTAAGGAATCTAACTCCCTTAACTCAATTTTCTTCCATTATTTTTCATATTTTCCTCTAATTTTCATAACTTCTCCCTTTATGCTAATAATATTTCACTCAAATAAATCATACATTTCAATTATTTCATGATATTTCACTATATTTTAGGCTCTTCAAAATTTTCTTGCTATTTTTATCATAAGTCAAAAAGCTTATAGAGTAAGGCATCACAATAATTAATAGTGAATAATATATATTTGCAATCATAAAGTAAAAATCAATACAGAACATATGAAACTAAATATCATCACCTTCTATTTTTCTTTCTTTTATTTTGTCATATACCTTGAAAACACATAAGATTAATAGCTTTTTATGATTGTGGTACTTTGTTTTTTCAAGAATTTATAAAATAGCCGTGAGATTATTCATTTAAGAATAAAAAATTCAAAAGCAAATGAGACAAAAAGATTATTTCATAAAAGAATACTCCCCATTTATACTTCCCATTTATACTTCCCTATTATTTTTTCTAATATTATTTCAATTCAATCAATCCACTAGATAAATTCACTTCACTAAAATACAATATGATAATTTCAGAAAGCATAAGCAAATATGGTGTTTCTCCAAACATTTATAACTTGTCAGAAAAGAGGAATCTATAAAATAACTAAGTCCATCAAGATTTCAAGTGACAATTTATTCTAAATATCTTTCTTAATTGATTATTTTTAAGATGACTAGAAACTCTTCATTCAAGCTTAATAAACAAGTATACAATTTTTCAAGACATCACGAATATAATTCTATAATAAAAAAATGAATAAGATATCTTTATTTTTTAATTCATAAATTCATAAAATATCAAGTAAGTACTGTCAACTTTATAAAATATCAAGTGTAAAAGTGAAGTTAGACTCCATCATTTTCAAAAGAATAAGAAATAAACATATTCATCCTCAGAATATGCATAACAAATATTCACTATCCATCTACAAATGGAAACGATGTCATCATTTAAAAGAATCAATATCTAATACGTGCAAAACTTCACAAATAGGAAATATTCTTTCGCTTATAAACTCTAATAATTCAAAGACATATTTAAAATTTTAGAAAATATATATCTAGCAAAGCCACAAATAAATAAATAAACATATGCAACTTCATTTTCCCCTAAGCATTAACAATTTTGTCATAAAAAAGGAATGGGTAAGACGATTAAAATTTAAAATAATGACTAATTCCAAATATTCAACTCAATTTTCAATATTCAACTTTAAGTAAAATATTCATTTACATCTAAGTGTACCATATATAGTTGAATATCCACTAATGTCCAAGGTAAGTAAAAGCTTCACGAAATCCAAGCATATTAACAAATTTCTAAGCCTAAATATCAAGATTCTTGCAGAAAATATAAAGGAAAGCAAGATAAAAGCTTACCTAGAAATGAAGAGACGAGAGGAAGAAAACCTTAGCCCCACTCCTTTTAATTTCGAATGAAACAGCTGGGAACAAAAGCTATTTATATCTGTTCCCAAAAAAACCTAAAACTAAACGACATCATTTAGTGTAATATATACACACACACGCATATGACTGAACTGGTTCACCCGTGCCCTCTATTTCTTTTCTGCCTTGATCGCCTGCATTCATGCTCATCCTTTAACAACCCCCGCAAGATGGAGAGCACATATTCTTCGCTCCTATCTTGGTCAGATCATGTCCTAATGAAGCTACAGATAGTGCTTTGTTCAAAGCATCAGCAACCTGCTCTGCACTCTTCACATATTCTGTTTTTAGCCAATCATCCTGTATTTTCTCTCTAATTAAGTGACAATAAAATTCAATATGTTTCGTTCTTTCGTGATAAACAGAGTTTGCTGCAATGTGCAATGCAGCCTTGTTATCACAGTATAAAGTTGCAGCTTGATCATATATTACCTTTAAGTTGGTCATCAGATATTTTATCCATGTAATCTCATAGCTAGTAGTTGCCATAGCTTGGTACTCGACTTCAGTAGAAGATCTTGTTATGGTAGACTACTTTTCAGATTTCCATGAGACTAAGGAGTGACCTAAAAATATACAATAGCCTATTATTGATCTTCTTGTATCTAAACAAGTTCCCCAATCACAGTCGCAATAAGCATTAACTTATTACCTCAATACTTTGTAAGCAGCTTGCATGTGTTTATCCCTCGGCTTCTCCATAAATTGACTAAGTTGCTGCACAGAGTACGCTAAATCTGGCCTTGTGAGTGTCAAATACATTGTTTGCCTACCAGCCTTCTGTAAATAACAGGATTAGATAACAACTCACCCTCATTCTTAGATAATCTCAAATTATGTTTTAAAGGTATTTTTGAGGGTTTTGACCTTATTATTCTAACTTTTGTTAAAAGGTCAATAGCATACCTCCTCTGACACATGGATATTCCTTCTTTGGACCTTACAACTTTCATGCCTAAGAAATATTTAAGATTCTCTAGGTCTTTGATTCTAAACCATTCATTAAGGGCTGACTTTAATCTCTCTATTGTCTCCAAATTATCTCCTATCACAATCACATCATCTACATAAAACAGTATCACTGTGAAACTGTCTTTCGTTTTTCTAACAGACAAGCTGTAATAAGCTTTTGATTGTTCAAAACCTTGCTGTAAAATGAATGATGAAAACTTGGCATACCATTGTCTAGATGCTTGCTTTAATCCCTATATACTATTTTTTAATCTGCAAACTTTGGAGTTCCCTTCAACTTTATATCCTAGGGGAAGCTCCATATACACTTCTTCATCTAAATATCCATGCAATAAAACATTATTAACATCAAATTACTTCAAATGCCATTTATGCATAGCAGCAAGTGAAAGGATCAGCCTTACCGTGTTAATTTTTGCTACTGGTGAGAAAGTCTCATGGTAATTTAATCTTTCTTTTTGCATGTATCTCTTAGCAACCAGACTGGCCTTGAACCTCTCAATTGTCCCGTCTGCATTGTATTTGATCTTATAAACCCACTTGCACTCTACAACTTTCTTGTTAGGTGGCAAATAAGTGATTGTCCAGTTCCCATTTCCTTCAATAGCCTCTATTTCATTCTTCATTGAACTCATCCATCTGGTGTCTTTGCAAGCCTCTTGATAGCTCCTGGGTTCTTTTTCAGTATCCACAGTAAAGATAAATTTTTTGTATCCTTCACTCAAATTTTCATAACTCATGTATGAACACAAGGGAATGGCTTTACCTTTCATTTTTTCTGAATTTCCTTATGTTTTCCAGTTAAATCTTCCCCAGGTATGTAATCCTTCAACCAAACTGGTGGTCTTCTCTCTCTGCTTGATCTTCTTAGCCCAACCAGTGAATCAGCCCCTTCAGCCATAAATCTTTCATCTGAACTCATCTCAACTCTTTCTGTTTCAAAACTGTTCTCACCTAATTCCTCTTGAGCTTTTTTCACTTCACTGGTGCCATTGTCATCCTATCTTACCTTACTGCCTGTCTCAACAGTTAGACTATGAGCTCCATTCCTCTCCAATCTAGGAATTACCTGATTCATTTCCCCTATAATTTTTTTTTTCTGTAAGGCATTATCCATTCATGAAATACTATATTTCTTGACACAAAACCCTTGTCATTTTCAACATCCAACAGCTTGTATCCCTTGGTTCCTATTGGGTAACCCAAGAACACGCAATTGTTTACCTCGGATGAAACTTATGACGATCCCTGGTCAAGATGGAGGCAAAGGCAAGACAGTCAAACGCCTTCATGTGTCCATATGTAGGTTTTCTTATGTATAATCTCTCAAATGGTGTCTTATTCTGTATTGCAGAAGATGTCACCCTATTCATAATATAAACAACTGTTAGTACAAAGTCACTCCAAAATTTCAAATCTTAACCACTTTGAAATTTAAGAGCCCTGACAATATTAAGAATCTATTGGTGCTTTCTTTCTACTCTCCTATTCTGATATGGGATCTCAACACAACTTCTCTGATATACTATTCCCTTCTTCAAGTACAAATCCTGCATTAGAAACTCTTTACCATTGTCACTCCTTATAATCCTGATCTTTGCTCCAACTATGTTTCCACTCATGCATGAAAATTTTGTGATGCTGGCCCTGCCTTAAATTTATTCTTGAGCTAGACAACTACGTGCACCTGCTGTATCATCAACAATAGATAAAAAAAAATACCTAAAACCATTATGTGAGACCTCATTACAAGGTTCTCAAATATCACAATGTATAAGCTCAAAACGATGTTCAACCTTGTATTTGTTAACATCAAATGGTAATATGTTCATTTTACCTAAGGGACATATATTACATACTTCATGTTTTACACATCTGAAAAATTAAAAAAAAAACTTGTTTTGGGCAGCATTGAATGCCTCAACCTATAATGCCATAATTCAAAATCAGTTATTAAATCACCCTATAAGGTTCCACTGGATGCAAAAGCATATTATTCCTCACAAAATTTGTTCCTCTTATGTTGTAAAAGATACAATCCACCTTCAAGTCTACCCAATCCAATCGTCTTCCATGTCTGAAGACCCTGTATTATACACATCTCTTATGAGAAAATCATATAGCATTAAGAGTCTTTGGTCAGTCTTCTGGCTGATAACAAATTAAAACTGAAGGTTGGCACACATAAAACATTGTTGAGGATCAATTCCTCAGTGATCTTGATTGTTCCTACTGATACAACTGGATTTTTTCTCCATTTGGCATTCCCATTGTAACATCCTGCTCATCATTGTGCTAAAATGATTTGGAAACTCTATTTATTTGGGTCTTTGACTATCCTAAATTTAAATTAATTTACGCAATTCTCAATATCCGTAATTTTAATATATATATATTTTTTATTTTATTAATTTTACTATTATTTTTATTTTAACATTATTTCGTTTTATTTCAAAAAAAAAATTAGAAAAAAAATCGAAAAATAGCTAAACGAGAGAAAATCAGCTCGCGGGGAAAAATCTCGCGGGAAAATAGGTTTGCCCTTGCGAGTGTTGGGCACTGTGCGCATGCGTATGTGTGCATAGTGGCCATGGCGTGTGCGTACAGCGCACATGTCCCATCTTCATGCCAGCACGCACGGGACATGTGCACAGCACGCACGTCCCTTCCCTGCGCAAGGCGCGCGGTCAGGACATGCACGAGCGTCCTGTCGCACGCAGACGGGCTGTCCACGCGTCACTTCACACACGGACTGGTTTCGTACACTGTGCGTGTGTTGTCCACACTGCAAGCCTGCACAAACAGGCCCTGCGCGCCTGGGACCTGCACGTAGTAGGCCTGCGCGGACAGGCCCTGTGCGCCTGGGGCCTACGCGCAGTACCTGCGCATGCAGTGCCCAGTACGCATAGGCCCTGCGTGCATGCAAGCCAACCCCTATGTGCACAGCAGCATGCCTCTTCGCCTACAGCACGTCGGCCGGTCTTTGTCACCTCAGGCAGAGCTTTGTTGTTGCTTTGGGCGGGGCACCACCGCTACTGGTGAAGGAAATTTTCCTCCCTCGTTTTTTATACCAAGAATTTTTTTCTCCTCTCTCTTCACCGGATTTTGCTACTTGGCAAAAATTCAATAGTTCTGAATTTCTATAAATTGCCTTCCCCTTCCCTTCCTCTCCACACTTCCATTTCTTTCATTTTTTAAAGATTTAGAGAGAGATATATATATATAATAAAATAATGAGAGAAAAAGAAAAAAAAAGAAAACAGTGAAGGAGAAAGCATCAAAGTTTTGGTAAGAAATCTAGTATTACTTTTTATGTCTTAAGAATTATTTTTAAATAAACAAATTTAATATGATAATTATTTTGTCTGTTTTGCATACCTCTGCATTCGAATAAGTCAAGTTGTTCTGATTTTCAAGAATGTTGTGTGATTTACTATACTTGATGATTTACATGTATAAATGTATATGTAGTCATGATGATAAGTAAATAAAGAAAAGA